ATTTCTGTGTTTATGCAGCCGATAACAGTGCCAGTTTTTACTCCAAGCTTAGGTGTAAGATACATAATTCAGAATTACACTTTTCTACTAAATTACTGATCACTCTTATTGACATTGAAAGCTGTGAAGTGCATTTTATCTCACCGAAGGCTTGTCAGTTATGGCGCTAGTAATAATCTCTTGGTAGCTATAGTTATAGGCTTTATCCACTTGCCGTAATGTCCACCTCAATAAATACCAGCCATTTATTCTTTTTATGCTCACCTTGATAAAAGTTCAAGCTTTAGGCACTTAGTCACCCTACGCAATTAATTATACAAATATGATCATTTTCGCCTAATCGATGTTTACCACTCTTAACAATAGTGATGTTTTTGAGTAGTTCCAGACCGATAGCTGTTACTTTGACAAGGTGGTCGGGCTTGCGTAGTACAATGATCCAACGAGCTATAATGATTCAAGCGCTCGTTCCCTCAAGGTCCTGCCATGTCAGAAAGGTTTATTGGATAGTGGTAAGACGGAAAGCAGCTTACCGTTGTAGTGTAAATTACTACACTATGATGGGGGTCCGAGGGCGAAGTCGTACGTCTGGCTAGATGGGTGTAAAAGTAGTAAGGTGCTTTCCTTGAATGACCAGGAATGTCGCACAACTGCTCCCTTCCCTATGAGGAAGGAGGGATTAAAGAAGACTGGCTTCAAACACAGTACGCTCCTCCATGACTCACAGTCTTTCCATGCTATGGCTTTTCCTAATCCGGCATTAGAACAATCAAATCTCATACCAAAAATTCTAAAAGTCCTTTGGGCTCTATGGTCCCAAAAATCTTTTTTCTCTTCCAGTTAACCTGAGAAGAAATAGTCTTCCATGGTGTGGGAAGCTCGAAAGAGACAAAAGTCCACACGCTCCCACTAGTACGCAAAAACAATCAACCATAACCCATTCTACTCAACTTTGTCTCCTCCCTTGGCTTCACCTCCAGCTGTCAGTATTTAATTTGGGGGGTTGGTGATTTTTCAAGTTGGCATTTGATCATTTGGAGGAACACTGGAAACTTGAAAGTACTGGACAGCTGTTTCGTTCTAGTATGGGACTCCTAAGTAGTGCGCACCCACGACCCTGCCCCACCAGGGATCTACTACATGACCTTCAGGTCCCGTGCCCAGTACGTTACCTTTGAAATATTAGTATTTGGCCGCTTACAACCTCCCTCTCTGAGACCATTACCAACGATCAAAGCTATGAAAACATCATTCCTAGTATCCTAAGTCCCTTCTGGTTGGTTTCATAGTGAAGTTTTCAAATTCCGAACTGTATGCCACATCTCATATCAGCACATCAAGTAAGAAGGCAATAAAATGGAAGATGAAGAAGAAAGGGAAAATCTGTCAAAAGAACTAGAAAGTAGTAAAGAGAGGAAGGAGGAATGAGAAAATGATGAGATTAAGTATGGTGGTCAAGATGAGGACTAAGGGTGTATACATCTGCACCACCAACATCGGTTCTGAACCATATAAACTAGAGTCAGTCTCCAACCACCGGTTTCTCTCGTCCCGCAAACCCCAACCGGCTGCTCTGCATCATCCTACATGGCTCCAACCAACAGTCAACGACTTCATGCATTCATGTCATGTTTAGTCTAGCCACCACGAACCTTTTTCCAACATGAACCTATTTTGGCCAACACTGTGCGATGAGGCAGATAGTGGTTAGGCATACGTAACACATGTCCCAGACAGCTCAGTCGATGAAGGTTCACAACAGCATCAGTTGTCTCACCTCTCCTGCCCAAAACTCTATACCTGACTTGTGTTACTCACGTGGTGACAGCACGAAACATGGCCTATGCTACGAAGGCAACGGTGGTCAACCACCTGAAGTCTTCTAATTTCCTTTACATGCTTCACGACCACATAGCGGAACAGAGTGAACTGTAGAGCAGTACACTAAAACCTTGATAGAAAATCGGATATTGCGGTGACGCCACACATAGTATAAGTTGGCGAAAGACAAGGGAGGCCGTTTTTTATCCATGAAGAGATCTCGTCGGCCATTGACCCACCAGGACTGACCCGACTTCTGTGTCCGGAGAAAAGCTGAAAACCAGGCTTGGAGCAACAGTTAGGATTTAGGCAGTGAGGAACGCATCTCAAACGGCTATTCAAGGTGTCCAGAAGACTGGATCTTCACCTAACACGACATCATCTGCTTACACGACATCTACCAAAGTTTCTAATATGATTAAATCAATCCGTGATATTAGACAACGACGATTTCTCCATTAGTAGGTCCATGATAAAGCTGAATAAGAATGGAGAGAGTGGACAAACGCCACTTGATGTACAAATCTCATCTGATAAATCAACATGGGCTCTGACACACCCACAGTACACAGCACTCATCAGGATGATGTACTTACTCGGCACTTTCAAGTGAGAGACGATGCCGTAAGACCTCTCGGTCGAGTCGAAGGCAACTAGTGTTAGGCATTGGTAAGTGAGCTTACGTTGGTGAACCTGGTGGCGAGTGAATATCTGGTCGATATACCTACGGCTACGTGTGAAACCTGCCTGAATTTCTTTAGTTTGTTATTTCTGACCTCCATCTAGATGTTTGACAATTATAGAATCTAGATTTTTAGAAAAGATGTTTATCAGGGTGATTCTCTCGTTATTATCAGGATAGGACTTCTAATCTTTCTTGAAGACTGGAATAACCAGTGATTGAGCCAAATTAGAGGGGATCCTATCTAATTCCCGCACACTAGCCAACACTTCGGCTAACCTGACCAGTAATCCCGAACCACCGCTCTTAAATACCTCTAATACTAATCCCTCTGGTGTTTTTCACTTCCAGTTATCTACAGACTTCTTAATGTTCCGTTCAGATTACGAATGGATAGTGAGAAAAGGGACAGCAGATGGAGGCAATTCTAACGGTCCCTCGAAGTGTCCTGCCCACCTTTCCAGTCATCTCCACAGAGGGTGGATCGCGGACCCATCCTTCTTCGCTAGTCTTGCTAACCATTCACCTTTTTGCCTCGATCAATTGAAATAATTTTCTGCTGCTACTATCACTAAGACCTTTACCGTCTCCTTAGCCTTCGCTAACCCACCAATGTTTGTTGCAAATGAACGAGCTATGATGGGTGGGACAATTATTCACTAAGCTCCTATCTTCGCAATGGTTTTTCTGGATGGTGATAAAATTAAAAACAGCTACCGTTACTGTGAATAACGTGAGCTATATCGGGAATCCAAAAGTGAAGTTATACAGCTGGCTGTATGGGGTTTGATAGCAGTAGGGTGTTTCCCGAGATAACAGCATCTATAGTTGTTAATTCCCTTCTCTTTATCAGCAGGAGATAGAGGAGGTCGGTCATGAAAATGGCTATAAAAGATTATCAATCCTGACAGCAAACGTTTCGATCCAAGTACGAAAGTAACACAAATCCGAGGATTGTGAAAAGATTGGATTTGACAGGACTCAAGCAGATATCCATCCTTTGGGCTCTACTGTTCACAATTAGGTATATAAGGTCAACTTTACAAATCCTCTTTCGCTTTTAGACAAGTTAAAAAGTAGTAAGACTCTGCGGTATAGGCGATTGGGAAATGCTAACCCCCTTATGACCTCGTCCTGAAGTAAATTCCTTCAAAAACCATCAGCTTTCCACACTTTCGGTTAACAACTCTAAGTCATCTTTAGTTTTTTCCGGCTCTGCAGCTCAAGATAACGATAGGAGTAGCATCCTAGTGACACTCTAAACTGTAAATCACAGCTTTAGGTATAGCTATTTGCATTACCTCACCTAGCCAATGCTTTGAATTTGTGAAACTCGTCCTTGGAGTTCCTGAGGATTTGGTAGCTAGTTTTCGCAGACACAGGTATACCATTAAATCCTGATATGCTCATCAGGATACAAGTTGACAGTCATCTGTACAACTGAGTGGTGTAGTACGGATTACGAAGGACATTAGCACGCCATTCTTTCCGCAATCACTGCTTATATACACAATAACTACAATTCGAATGAAATGATAGATGAGTTCTACCCAAAACTGTTTGATCTTATGCTAGAAGCCAAGCGTCGAGTTGTGGTCATCGTAGTGAGTAGTTTTAAGTAAGAAGGTTAAACCAGACAGAAGTATCGTATAGAAACAATTTCCACGGGAAGTACCAACCGTCTGCACACTTCCAGTGGTATACAAAATCCAATCAAACGTAACTTACCCTTCTCACTTTTGTATCCTCCCTTGCCTTCAATTCCTTACAGTTTCTTTAAACTCTCATTGCCAATGATTCAAGTCAGCGAAACACCATTACTAACCACCTAAGCAAGAGAGCCATGCTAGTTGGTGAAGTTGTGAACCTTCATGGACTGAGGTGGCTCGGACATGTGCTGCGTATGCCGAGATAACGCCTATCTCAACGTGTCATACCATCAGGAGTTGGATTATGTTGGAAAAGGGCTCAAAGTAGCCAGAACAGGATGTGTCAGTAGTACATGAAGTCTCTAACTCTAGGTTTGAGTCTTGTAGGAGGTTGAGGACTACCTGTCTGGGTCACCGAGATGATGAGAATCAATAGTTGGAGAACCTTTCTTGGTGACATGGCTGGAAATCGGTCACGATGGTGCAGATATATTCACTCTTTGGTATCTTCCAAAGCTTTACACCAACCTTCGTTTATAAATCCTTCCAATAGGCAATAGTAAATAGTAGTTTCGACTTATAAAGAAACTAGGGTGAGGTTGTGGGGTGAAGAAGAGCTTGTCATCCGGTTACAGTGTCTATCTGAGCCTACAATAATGGGCAGAACTCATATGCAAGCAGAGGTTTATTTAAGCAGTTTAGCGTAACAAAATATCATAATCATTTAAATTGCATACATAAAGTAAAGTAGTTCTGTGATATATATATATATATATATATATATATATATATATATATATATATATATATATATATATATATATATATATATAGTTAAAATGGAAAGCGAAGAAAACAACGTATCATTCAAAATACATATAAGCAAAGATCACATGTCTGCGTGGGCGTGAAGTACATAATTATTCGTCTACTCTTGCATCACAATATTTGACATCCATTACTGTCTGATTTCTTTAAACTCCAACGTAACCAATTCAAACCACTTTCAGTGTACGGATAATAGCGGATTCTAAAAAATAAAATGCAAATTGGAAATATAAACAAACCTTTTTAGTCGAAAGAAATCATATTAAAGCTATTCGAAGCCCTAAGAGTAATGGAGAACATATTTGAAACAAAATGGAATCCGAAATACGGCATTATATTAGAAAATTACAATAAAATGAGATTGACAAAGAAAGAGGAAAGGTGAAAATAACCACGAACAATATTTAGCATATAGATGCACAAAATGAAGCATGTCAAGGATTACTTCTTCACACAAGCTCATACCTGGATATCTCTCAATAATAATTGGTGAAGAACAATAATCCGACTCTCACATACAACAGATCAGTGAAAAAACTCAACCCACTAAGTGATCTACGAATTGTTATGGGTAGGTCCACTGAAGCTGACAAATTTTATGTCCTGATAAACTTAGCTTTTTGAATAGGCTGTGTGAAACTTTCAATCAAATATATATTTTCTTCGCTCGCACACCGGATGAATGTTATTAATGCTCATTGCTGTTACACAAGGTCTTGGTACGCTTACACTACTCATTCGATTAACTATCAGAACATATGCAATACAACTTGTAACCTTGCAAAATATGTGTATCAGCAGCTACAATTTGACTTGTGTGATGAATGGATCGTGAAATCTGCTCAGAAGGACAACTGCTAGCCATTACTGTCAATTGTTGAACTCGTCTCCTCAAATATAACCAATAGCCTTATCGGTTCCTAATAATTATCTATTGATTTGATTATTTTTACTAAGTGAAACATGAGAAATGAGTCTCTCCTAACAACCACCAAATCAAGAAGTAGATAAGTTGGATCTGGTTGCGGAATGCGCAACGATTTAAGTGCTCTTGAAACTGTTTTGACGAACACATGAAAGAATGTCATACAGCGCTTGTTTTCGTAATGTCAGCATTAATGAAAGATGTTCTACTGATAAAATTTAGGCATACTGACAGTTTTCGATGGTAAGCATGAGTAACGAAAATGGTGTAAGCAAAAGTAAAATCAATAATACAACTCACTTCTTATTTATATATTCCACTTCTGATTTCAGTATAACTGGACGACGATGGGAAAATGTTTCAATCGAATAGCGACCATGATAATTCCCTATTCCAGATTGGCCGATTCCACCAAAAGGAATATTCGGTACTATAACAGAAAATAATTATTCAGAAGAAAATATGACTATTATTTTGCTACAGAGCAGAAACACATGGTTATGACTACGGATGATAAATCGTGTCCGACACGTAACTAGATAAATCATACTGTCCCTCTGTCCCAGTTTTACACTTATATTAAAGAACAACAAAATATTCTGTAGCGGTAAATGAAGAACACTTCATCCAAGGTGGTCACCAATCCTTATTACTTGGTGAATCCTACAGCCTATCAGATGATTTATAAAAATAGTAAGAAAGAAGTGACTTGTTAAAATATCGTGCAAACTCCATTGAAAAAGAGGCAGTGATCGATCATCCTCATTCGAAGCGCTTGAAGTCAGTGGAAGTTTTTGCAGAAGTCTTTTTAAAAAATAAAAAGACAACTGTGAATGTAAGTATAGAATAGGGACACTGTGGTAGCATATAGTCCCATACCATATTAGTCTATTTGATATAGCACACAGTAATACAGCATTAGTTATCAGATGACGTTTCGAGCAGAATTTATTGCTTACAATCACACAACTTTCTGGTTTGGCTTTTAACAGTTCTATTGTTTCTCATTTGATTTAATTGGTGGCAAAATGTTCCACACTTCTGAAATTGGTTCCGTGTTGTTTCGACTGCACGTGTTAGGTGTTGAATCAATGAACATAGTGTAACTCTGTTTCATCCTACTGCATGTTATCGCATGCACATCTGCGGCTGAATTCTTCTCTAGATTACGCATCCTATTACGGTCTATCAATCCAGACTTACCTAGGTACTTTAATTCCATTGACCCTGTTCGTCTAGTTTGACCTGCGTACTCGACCTCATAGTCATTGCACAGCATTTGGCAAATTAAATTATTCTGTCTAGTTGGATCAATATAGTCCTTAAGCCAAGGAGGTTTGATTCTTAGTGAGTTTTCAGGTCTGCCTTTTCGAGAACCCCACTTAGGATTTTTGATGTCCTCTTCTTTATATGGTAACACTAAGAAGGCTTTGAATTCCTTCTTAGACTAGTTGCAATCACTGTTTACACCACTCCTCCTTTTGTTATGCATCTTCATGTATTTCTGAATAAATCTAGGAGGATAATCATTAAGTAAAGTTTCCCTCATATATTTCGTTATTGAAATTTTTTGACTTCTAGCTCAATCACTAAAACATTTGACTAAACTTACATCTACTGGTATAGGGTGAGATTATCTAAAGCCTACACATCTATTGGAATGCGATGGTTTTCGGTAGAGACTTGTGTTTAAACCACCGAATTATATTCGTTTCATTTTAATCCTTGTCCAGTTTATAACCTGAAAGTAAATTTTATCCAAACTAACACCAAGTTTATGTCTGAAGAAGTCACGGTGAACTTCGTATTATATATATATACTAAGTTGAAGAAACAAATTCAGCTTATTTTGAGTAAGAAAAACCAAAGCTGGACTAAGTATTACATAAAAATCCATGAAAGCTGCATCCAGTCAAACTCTGGAGTAACTACAGGCAAGATCCACGTCACTGAAAAGTGATCGATATGCGCTGTTAAGCATCTTAGCTAAGTAAACAATGTCCGATATTTAAAAATAAAGTGTATACATAAGCTACTGCACAGATAATGAGTAAACTTCAAGTATGCACTTAGAAAATAAAACATATCGTATACTCCTTGAAAGGATATGTGGGTTGACTTTCTGATCAGAAACCAATCTTGTGTTGCGTGTTGAAAAGGTGAGCACGCACAACAGTAGAGAATAAAATTACTTGTTGTTTAACATTTATTAAGAATAGGATGAAATTGCGATTGTCTGAAACCGATCGGTTACACAACCTTTTCAAGTGTGTATCATACGTCCCAATCAAAAAGCATGAAACACGCGTATATTCCGATTACTAAGTGAAATCAAACCTGCAGTAAGCTGTTACAATGCGAAGTTGTGAGAACCGACAGTAACAGTTGAGAGTCGAGGGTTGAGATGACTCAACCCAAGTGATTTGCAGAAGGAAACCAAAAGACTGGTAATCAATTGAGTTTATTGTGTCTCGAACTGAAAACGTTTATAAGGAAAACATACCTTTTTGAAGGAATCCAGTGACGTATTCTTTTTAGCTCGATGTGTAGTGGTGCTGTCTGTCAGCGGTGATGGTCAGTTAATCGTTTATGGGAGTAAATAAACATTCTCGGGAAGCTTTGGACTAAGTGAACAGTCCGCTAATCTTGACGACAGTTTGAATGTATCCAACGACAAATCGAATGGTAGGTTATTTGTCGGTTCTTCTTTTCCCTTCATTTCTCACCGGCGCAATTGGTTGTGGTGACGCGTCCAAATTTCACGTCCCAATCGAATATTATGCATTACGTTTCCATGTTGCTGGACAGACAACAGACCCTTCAACCCAGTTGCAATACCGTGTTTCATAGTTACATACAAAAACGATTAAACTCAATGATAAGGCTCTTGCATCACTTTCTGAAGTACAAGGCGATGTAGGCGTTGTGCTCAGTCTACGCCCCATTAGTGCTTCTGCTGGTGACTGTTGATTTGTGCAGACTCGTTAGCGGTGAGAGTGTATGATTAGGAACCCCTGTAAACTGTCGGCTGAAATCCCTTCCCTTTCAGCTTTTAACAAATTCCTTTTGAAAGTATCGACGTAACGTTGTGCCTGCCCGTTTGACTGTGAATGATATGGTGGTGAGCATATATGAGAGATGGGATGCTGATGGCAAAATTTATCAAATTCATTGGATTTAAACAGCGACCATTGTCGGTGATGATGGTTTCGGGAAGCTTTTGATGGCTTAAAAACACCGTAACATCAACGATGTTGATGGAAGAACTATAGGCATGACCTCCGGCCAATTCGACAATGCATCCACGAGAACCAGATAAGATACACCATCAATAGGACCAGCAAAATCAAGATGTATTCTTTCCCAAGGATTTGTGTTAGCCACAGTACCGAAAGGATTTTAGGAGGGTTTTCAGCCGCTCGTTTAACATAATTAAATAAATGTTCATCCATTTGGGACCAGTGAGCAAAACTTTGCGAGATTGATTTCATCCGGTTAGTTTTTGGATAATCGTTGAGGACGCGAGAAAGTGTCTGCTTGTCTAAATTGCTCCGTTGGTCGATAGTGTATGTTAAAGTTATACCCAAGAAGAATCAAAGCCTATCGCTGTATTCTGTTTGCGGAGTGAGCAGGTATCCCAGATTCGTTTCCGAAGACGGAGAGGAGCGGGTTATGATCGGTCAGCAAGGTGGATTTACGTCCATATGAGTTTTTTGAAGCCTCTGTACCCCGGAAATTAAAGCCAAGGCTTCTTCCTCTATCTGTCCGTAACGTTTTCTGCGTCAGTGAGTGTTCATAAGGCATCCACAATTGCTTTCTCGTTTCCATCTGGGAACATATAGAAGATAACAGCGCCAGCACTATCTGCTGAAGCGTCAGCTGACGGTAACTGGGGGTCAGTAAGTCCGAAATAAGCATGGATTTTAATTTATGAGACAGACTCACATTTATTGGACCATTCCCATAGGACATCTTTACGGAGTAGTCGGTTTAGTAGTGGTCGTACATAATGTATCGACGGCTGAAAAGTTGAATAATGTCCGACGAAGGCCGAAAATGAGAGGAGTGATGATACATCTTTGTGGGCCGGTACTTGTTGGATTGCCTGTATGTTTTCAGAGTCCGAGTGTCGACCTGAAGCATCGAAGATCAATCCCAGATATTTCATCAACAGAAGGGAAAAATGAAATTTTTCTGGGTATAGGCGGGAACCGGCTTCTTGAGTGCGGATTACCAACTCCTTCTGGACAACTAGTAACGATATCGCGACACCAGCAATACTGGACAATATGTTAACCATCAGCTGTTGGGAGATAGCTGCAGTGGTTTTGATGCCGAATAGCAGTCAGTTGTATCGGAAGAGTCAGCGATGAGTGACAGTGATTCGTTTTCTGTATTACTTAGAGATTTCCACTTGAAAGTATGCAGCTGTCAAATTCAATTTTGTGAACATGTTTCCACCGCTAGGGCTGGTAAACAGGTCTTCCGGGTGCGGCAACGGGTAGCGATATGGTTTGAGGGCAGCATTGAGGCCTGGGGGGGTCAGCACACAGGGAAGAGAACCGTCAGCCTTCTTCACTACGACGATTGGAGCTGCCCAGTAGCAGTTGGTTACTGGAGTCAGAAGTAATTTTTTCTCTGGACGTTGGAACTCTACGTCGACTTGTGGAATGGAAGCATAAGGCGCAGGTCGCCTCAGACGGAGATTGGTTTGGAACTATGTTGTGTATGTATAACTGCGGGAGGTGCTAGGGACCGACAAACACCAGGTTGAAAAACATCTGCAAAACTCCTGACCACTTCTGAGGATTGAATTTGAGGCGATGTTTGCACCTAGTTACATAGAGTATGGAGTGGGATGTCTGATAACCCGATATGGTCAAACCAATCCAAACCTAATAAATTTAGGTCAGCTTCGACAACATAACACATCCCATCAACTGGACAACCGTTGAAGAAAACATTATATAACGAGCTTACCGGACAATGGGAGATGCCACCACATGCATTCATCGCGATCTTAACTGCTCTGTAGAGGTGGTGAACCAGTATCACACCAGAGCTTGGCAGAAATGACGTTAATATCTGACGCAGCGTCCAACGGAAGGTTAACTAGATGATTACCGATCAATATTGTTATGACTTTGGATTGTGCAACTCAGCGTTCATTAAGGTGGCTGCGATGGGCATGCATCTACCCATTGGCTTCGAATAGTTCCGGGACCGACTTTTCCTAGGCGGACCAGACGTTTGTGGGCCGTGTTAGCTAAAGCAACTATCTTTGTATCCAGTGATTTACTAGCAGCAGTGGTGTTGTTTATATAGGCTGGACTTGATGTAATACCAGGCACAGCAAAGCCAACAAGATGAAGGCGGAGTCTACTGGAAATCGTGAGGCGTCAAACTAGGTGCCCATGACCAGAAAATTAGCCCTATCGCCAATGTTACGATGCGGAGTTGTGAGAACGAACGGTAATAATTAACGATTGAGAGTCGAGGGTTGAGACGATTCAACCCTAGTGATTCATAGAGGGCAACCAAAAGACTGGCAATCATTGAGTTTATGGTGTCTCGAACTAAAAACACCTATTGGTAGAAACGGACCCTATTAAGAGAGTTTAAAGTAACTTTTGAGGACAATGAATAATTATTAGATTTGAAGAGGCAGCAGCCAGTCAGAACGCTAGCGGGCTATATAAAATGTGAATCATGTGCGGGAAAAGAGCGCGAAGAAACACAGTTCAAAATTTACAAATGGGTAGTATGAAATATAAGAGATATAGGTATCCCCAACATAAAGTCTCTAGCCTGTAAACATAGTTTGAACATATATATATCTTAAGCGCCAATCAACACGTACAAAAGTAAAATATTCAACAGAAACAACAATTAAACTTTGGATCGACTTACTAATAGAGTGTACAGTACAATCATTCATCATAATCGCACCACTACTAGTAGTGTTTTTAAAATCCTCGAATAAAAGTTTATTTCGGGTGAAGACGTAGATAGCTAAAGGCTTTTCTCTGCAAAAAGCATTTTAAAAAAATCAAAACCATAGTGAGAAACTTTATTAATACATGCTGAAAATGATGACAATAAAACATTGGTTCTCCTAACAAATTCTAAGATAAAATTTTTGTAAATTGCATAATAATAAAAAAAAACCACTTGAACCAATTAACTAGAAATCAAAGGTCGACATTTCGTATGATTTGAAAGTGAGGACATGCTTGGTGCTTTCTAATTCAATTAACAATACGATTAGTATGCCCTATCGAATTGTGTATTGTTTACACAAACTGATTTATCACTTATTCAAAAATTAAACTAGGACAATTATTCCCGACAAATAATTGTTTACTTTTAAGACCAAATCAAGACTGGTCATGAAGATCTGGTGATACTAACTGCTCAGAAAACTGAAAACACTCTCGTCTTAGAAAACAACCTGAGAAATTGAATAAGCTATTGAAGTCAAAAATGACCAGAAAATGTTTAACACAAAGGAGATATATACGATAATTACTTAGAGTTGATTATCTGAATTGCATCGGAAGCTGATTTCACAGACATAACAGGGAGAATAGGACCGAAAATCTGGAAAAACAACAAGAAAAAATACAAGTATATGTCTGTTTACAGAAAAATGAAAAAATATGCAAAATTTTCAATTTTCCAAAATGACATCGAAACGAACAGGTGGCAATCGCCTACAAACACTGGACAAAGGAATTCAAACGTTCCAAGAGTATTCACCGAGGTCCCTGATAGATAATCCTAATATCTAAAGCCTCCTTCTTTTAGAATGAATTTCTACCAACATATCAAATCAAAATCCATGTAGAAAAGATAGTCCAAAGGTGACCATCTCAAAATGTGTTCCGCATATAAAAGCGGAGTGGAAGCCCGATAAATATCATGAAATGTGGAAAAATGTAAGCAAGTTCCACTATCAGTCCAATAAAATAAATTCTCCTTGAAGATAAACTATTTCATACCGACGCAAAAATAATCCGTTCTCAGTACGTTCCTGAATAATCCGATGATTTAGAATCGATACATGAAAACATTCTACAGGATTAACATACAGTGAAAACAGTTGAACAGATACCCTGGATGAAGGTTTAACTATTATAAGTATTTGTACTAGTTAGTTACAAAGAACAAATACACATTCCACTAAACACTTAGAGAGTATTGCATCACCGATAATTGTTAATGAGATCTGTTGATCACAGACATCAATGATAAGATTCTACATACCTTATTAAAAGACTACTTTATTTACATCCAAGACAACTGGAAGTTGACTAATTTTTGTTTTCACTAATTTTCCTTTGCGCATACTATGTTCTACATTAGAAAATTTCAGTAGGCTGTTTACGACAATCTATTCATTCTATCAGATAACTGAAAAGTGAACAGATATAGAGGAGGTGGAAACACCTAACACACATATCCATTTATTGCGAATATGCAGTGTTACCACTTACAATTACGAAGTAGTGTTAATTGTATGCAACAAAACCCTCCATACAAACATCGATGATTGACTTTCTATTCTTGCAAAGCTTGTTAATCAAAATGGACTATGAAATACAGGTCAAAATGAAGCAAAGATTTAGCATTATTTTAGAACTGAACAAACTGGTTATTCTATTTTCCTAAGTGTTATTCAACATCATCGATACATTCAGTCAACAAGTGTAATAAGGCTACTGAGCAATCCTATTTTAAACAATATCCCCTGTAAAAGTCAAACGTTGAAGCAGTGTAGTTGAACCAACGCGCTATAAACCAAACTCCAGTGAACTAGCTTACACCAGCAATGTGATGTGGATTCACAAATATCGATTTAGCTAATTACATTCACAAGGACATTTTCGTGGTTAAAATAGCACCGCAGTTGACGGAACCTCCTGATTTAGGGAAGCCGTTGATATGATCAGCTAGCTGCCTTAGTACTCGTAGAACAGTAGTCAGTGTAGACCAGTAATATATTATCATTCTGTATTAGACAAGGCATGAATGCTTCAAAGCATGGTTAGATTTTCTCTCACTATGTTCAAAAGACCACGTTGTTCAGCATTTTTGATCGACAGGATAATGTTATCTGCATATTTCGGGCTTCCCAGAAAGTCTCGAATAAAAAATTATCTTCTGGGTAGTATACCTGTAAAGAATGTGAACAGAACATTACCGAAGAACACTATTTCTTGTTATCAGCATATGGACCTTAAAGTTGAACGAGAACTCAAGTAGAGATCGTCTAAGAAGTTAACGAATCGTCTCATAAATCCTCCTACACAGATATACTACCATAAAATTTCGTAACTGAAGGAATAAAATCCTACATTAGGAACAATAATTACTATCAGTGGAAAATATTGGTGACTATTTAAGTGTTCCAGGGATCTAGAAGAATCTAATGTATCCCAATTCCAAAATGCTACGTAGTCATTTGGTTTGATGTATCGACTTTTAAGATATGCGATAACAACAAGCACAATATGTGTCAAAATTCGAGCTGGTCATAAACTGAAACCATATATTAAGGCTACATTTAAGAGACTAAACACACATTTTCCATAAACAGACCGAAAAGTGCATTTTTCCAACACGTGTTTCGATATGCTTTAGAACAAAATCATTAGAACGCAAATATAAATAAAATAAATCTGACTTCGTCTTGCATCAGTGCATCGTCAGCTTCAACATCAAAAACGACAGTTGGGGCAATATACTTGTCGCTCATATCTGACTTGCCACCGATCGCAATATTGCCTTTCGTTTGTTCCAGCAAAGTTTTTAAGCGTCTGAAAAATGCAACAAAATTTGAAAATCAACTACTTGTTCTATTTGAACATTTGAAGTAACAGTAGAGATATTAAAAATACTGATGACGTTTTATTTCTTGTTACAGCAGTAAGCAATTCTTGTCAAGAGAAAAGTGATCGTCACATAAACTACCTGAAAAATTGCGGTAAATTCGGATGTATGTTTAAAGGGCTACGCAGGTTACTGACTAGCATAAACACATTTCTAAATAAACATTTTTCGTGTGACTGCAATAAAAGCGTTTTTGGGAGTCTATGAACAAAACTGATTACTGTTTGCATCTCTGCAACCCATAACACTAAAATTCAGTTCAGTCGGTTACTTACTCTTATTTTCATTGTGGTTACGGTTGTGGTTAGCGTAAGACATAAGGCTAACTAAACAAACATCACGAAAGTGATTCATCAACTTCTTGGAAATGTTTTTACAAAGCAAATGTAACTACTATCTAAAACGTGTGCCAAAAAAAGACCAGAAGCGGTTTTAAAACGTTAATTATTTTCAAGTTAATTCATGACAGTGTCTTATATAAAGATTTACTGCATGCTGAATGGCTGTGAAATCTACACCTCAGTACATATATTCAGTAGATTAGAATTAATTATCAAGTTGACGATCGTTTTATAAAAGAAAAATGTAACAGTGAAGGAATTCTTTTTCCCGACATTTCATTTACTAAGGCTCTACAATCGTCTTTAAAATCACTCGAAACAAATAACAGTCCATTATAAACTAATACGGTAGTCCGGTTGCTATAACGCTCAAGAGTGGAATTTAGAAAAGACGCTTCTAAAGATCGAGGAGAATTACTACTCTGTTCATGATAAAGCTAAAAGGTGCACTTAGTGCCTTTGAACACAAAGATTCAGGTTTAGAGTTATGAATTCCCAGTGATTCAAAACTTGGAAAGATCAACTCATAATAAATAGAAATGTTTGTAATCTCTAATGAACCATAAATGCAAAAAGCAGTCTGGGGTATGAATTTCATAGTCTAATTGATCTAAGAAGAGATTTTTATGGGTGAAAGTCACAATTAAGTAGGATGGTTACAATGGCATACTTTACCATAAGACACTTGATGAAAAAGTACTATTGAACATTAAATTATATTTCCTATAGGAATCCAAGATAAGTAGGAAAATATCTGAAACGTCAGATGTCTGGAGAACAACAACAGTGTTTCTTCACAATACTTACTTCGGACTTCGCGTTTACATAGACCAACATATGTTGACCGATTAGTTGGCTTTGGTTTTCCTACTAAGAAAGTAAACCTTCATAGACGGGTAGCAATTCACCATACAATTCCAATGATAACACAAACCGGTTAAAGAGGAGTATTACTATGGAGAAGTGAAGCTAGACAATTCCGTACACATCGAAAATAATAAGAATTATATTCATGTGTTACTACTATGAAAGACGCTGAGATTGGAAACTTACTAAGTACTATTTGTTGTAAAATTATGAAAAGGGTGACACAAACAGTTTTTACCTTAATACCACTGAAGGATGACAGAAAATGGTATACTTACTGAAAGTGTCTTTCATTAACAATTCGTGCCAAATCAGGACTCTTTTGAGGATCATCACCCAAAAACTGTTTCATAATCTCCTCCGATTTCTCCCTGAAGAGAGGCTAAAGTGAAAGCCAGAAACTTGCTCTTTTATAAGCATTAGAACTTCAGAATTTTAATTGAACTTTTAAAAGAATAACAGCTACAAAATGATGGGTTGTGCGGAAACAGAGCATTTTGTGGATTTTATCCACTCTAAATGGAAATTATTGAGAAGTTAGTCTTGTATGTGTCTAATTTACGTGTACGGCAGTTGTCGTGACTGCTAAGTAGTTCATTTGAAAAGTAAGGTTTCATGCTGCCTAGTTCCTCGATATTTGCCATAATAGAGGACAAAAGTCGGACATATTTGGCAACTGCAAAGGAAACATACTTGTAAAATCTCAATGAGGTACAAAAACAAATTTCTGACATTTCGCGACCTCGTGGAAGCCACTTCTTAAGAGAACCTGTACAAGTTATCTCATATCTAAACAGTAAATAGAGGTACCTAAGGCTGTGTCCACCAGCACTCTGTAAGGAAGCCAAAATGGAACTTTGATAACAGGCATCCACGGTGAACACAACTAGCTGTCATCACTTCAGATGACATCTCTTTATGAATTCGAGTCGAGAGCTACACACAGGTGGCTATCGACTGGTAATAAGTCGAGAAGTACACTTCATCATCTACAACTGAATGCTATGCCTACACTGCGATTCCACGGCAGTGTACCATTGAATTTGCGGACACTCTTAAAGTGGATTTCGAAGATTCACCGCATTGGTCAGATGAAGTCAAGTACGGGACCGCAATCAGATCCTGTATACGTGTTTTAGAAACAGTATACACATATGGCTCGAGATTCCAGAGTTTGCTGTATGTCATCATAGGCTATCACGGACCCATAGTTTCTGAGACGGTTTCATCAACCACCGTACAGTTAGGCAAGTTTTGATAGTCAGTGGCTTAAAATATTATAAGACAAGACTTCCAAGTCACAGTATTGGCAATTGTATTGCGTCATGAACTTGCTTGAATATCCTTTTACTTAATTGTTTTAGCCATTTGGAAAACTACTGTTACTTTATCTTTCATCTCTATTGAACCTTCAGAATATGGTCAACACTTTGTTAAGCGCGTCTGATAATGTTTATCTTTAGTCAGATTCATAATTTAAATAATCAGTGACAGCTTAATCTGTATAAAATACACAATTTATATCTTATTTTCATCAATATATTTGATCTAGAACACCTTCTTGGTCTTTGATTGTTTCATATGAAAAATTCACTCAACTTCAGACTTTAGTTAGTCTTAAACGACGTTCATTGTTTTGGAGTATTCAGATCAATAAGACGGCATAACGGTTTCTTCAGTTCCCTAAAATTCACTGGCCTTAACCTATTTTTAGTCTAGATAGTACAATAATATCTATCGACAACTTCTTTTATCTTGGTATATTTGGTTACTATCATGTCATATCATAAATTGGTCAACCACTCCTAGTCAGAAACTAAGAATATCTTGAATATACAAGGTGATTCTTATCAGTTATTTTAACACCGATTCCAAATTTCTGGCTTTACACAGTCATACAGCTCGAAGCTAAACTTAGACTTTATCTTGTAATTGTCTTCAAACCGTTGGTACACATTTTATGATAAAAACAACAAACTTCATTGTTTCAGAATTTTTTAAAGGCTTCAAGTTGAAACGGATGGAAGAAAGTTTCCTTATGTAACTTCAAAGCTACTTAGTTGTATTAATGAGTGATTCAGAAATTAGCCGTCAATTCTTATTTTAAATAATACGTATATTTTAGAAGAAGAATAATTTGAGCGAACCGTTGCTTTCACAATAACTTCATTTTCAGGCCCTACAACTACACATCCACGTGAAAGTTTTCTATATCCACTTATTTTGATTGCCACTTACCTGTAACACTAAATATTTCAATATTGAAATAATTTTGCCGTGTGCTTTACTTTGGTCATTCATTGTACTTCACCTATTTATGTGAATTTGTGACTGTAAAGTCAAAAGATCAAGTTATTGAAGACAACTGTTCGCCTAAATCTTTCTTGTTCGAAATAATATATACGGCTATTTAAATTACATATACTTTATTGAGAGATTTCAGTCACACTGAAGAAAATTTGTGAAAACGTAAAGCCTCAAGTCCACTTATACGTAGGATGAAAAGCTGAATATCTCAAGTGAATTAAATCAAACAATACACCTTAGAAATCTCATGTACTCTGATGCACTGGATTATTAGTAACATATTGTACAGAGGATAGCAATGATAACATTTGGTTGTACCAAGATGTATTGAAATCCGTCGGCTAATGATGAGAGGATCTAGAACCTAGCTACAACTCTTCAGTTTACATAAACTATTGTGTTAAGAGCAACTATTAATATTCCTTCCTTTATTTAAGTGATTCAACAACTTAAATTGTTTCAATTTATTACCAAATTTCTTAATATCTTCAGACTACACATCGGTAAAACTTTAGTTATCAATAAAAAAGGTTAACTGCAGCAACTACAAAAAAACGTAAGTCTTATGTAAGACGATTTGTAAATATTTCAGGAAACTTTATGGTTACAACAGTAGATATCCACTAATTATAAGGTCGACTTGCAGAGTCTATATTCATTAGTTTCGAAACTTGTTGAGTTGCACATATCCACATCTTTTTCAATATTTCTTATATTCTGTAAAACTTGTGATTTTACTGGTATTACTTACACTGTTCAACCTGGGTCTATGACTATTCAGTTTTATACCTGAAAATCCTGGTGTGAATTACTTACCATGTCACAACTGATAAACCTTCGTCCTCACTGTTAAATTTCCTAACCATAAGCGAAAATATGGTATTTACTTCCAGTTATCTTGAACTAAGTGAATTTACTCAAGACTTTGATAACTAAAGAGTTACTACATTATCCCAAAGACTAACACAATACAGAATGCTGGGCGACCCGGTTGAGTGCTTATTTTCATTTCATAGTTAAATACACTGTCAATTCTGAACAAAATATGCGACTAACATAACATAACATTCTGATTATTCAACGGTGAAACCACCTAAAGACACAATGAAGACCCATAGGTAGCTAATCAATCCTTACTGCTGGGTGTTCAGATGAATTTCCATCACTATGACATTAACGCAGTCGGTTTCAACCATAAAGTTACAGGTTCGAGACTGACACCACCTGCTGAGGTTAGGGTGGCTGAGTAGTATCATCAGTTCATTTACTAGATGCAGGCTTTGTTGCTTGGCACATTAAACTGTATGTTTGGATAAGTTACAAATCATGTTTAGCCAATACCTTGTCGCTGAAATCACTACTGATTTACAAGTTAATACTTCTAAATATAATGACATTGAAAATTTGTTTCAGTACTTATTATTAATATCAGAATCAGTAAAATCATAGGTTGATCAAAGATAAAGCAACTAACTAGTATTTGCTCATGACACAATAAGTAGTCTGGAGCAATGCATATTTGTCCACAGTTCAAGAGTTTACTGCAAAAATACGTCTGACAGCCATTTCCAGACTAACTTCCGAATCAATATACACCGGACTGATAGAAAAAATAAACAAATAAAAATATACGTGATTGGTGATACAATAACACGGGTACAATGTAGCAGCAAACAACTGGTTTAAATTACTGAGAAAACATAGTAAATTCGAAGATAACAAGAACAAACTTATTTGTACTACTTGGTTTACAGAGTTAATAAACAAATATATTCCAAGTACTGAGCAGGATATATTAAATGGGTAGGTGGAGAAGTATGAAAACTATTGTTTCATCTATTCAAGCTGATTCATCGACGTTATAATTGAGTAACTAAGAGGTATTGTAGGATTTTTAAAGCAGGCGCTCACGAAATTATCTGATAAAGTACCGAACGGCTTTCCTTTAATGGACAATCAATGGTGTAGTAAATTTCTCGAAAGTACGTTAAAGCGGTCACCGTCTGAACTTGTTTAGTACTCTGTGACAATAAACTACTCATTATGCAACGAAACAAAACTGCAGACTGCAAGACCACATCTCATATATTAACACTAGTTTAGAATGTCAGATGATTGTACGTTATGAGCTTCGAAAGAACTTTTAATACATCAACGATAGTCTTATTCTTCAGATGTCTGGTAAACATTTAATTAGCGTCTCATAAAATGAAATTAAACTTCATTTACCATAGTTCAGTTGACTTAAGTAGGAATCAGATAAAATGAGTAATGACTAAGCACGAGCACTTTCAAAAAATGTACGGGGGAAATAACCCAAAATGACATAAGCAACAAATGAGAGCAGGCCGAATAATTCCCCTTTAAAAGGAAACAACTAAATACTGGCAGAACCATACTAGTGGGACGGTTAGATGACAGGTAACTCACTCTTTTCAACCTGGCTTCACGACTGCCTAGAAGCTTTCATTTCTCCCTCACACGATCTCCTCCATGTCACCTCAACTCAGACGCCCAACTCGTCGTTTCCCCTTTGGGTTCCACTTGAGGGCCTGGCACGTGATATCCCTGAGTGGTCTCCTCAGTGTATGCCCAATCCATCTCCACTTTTTCTGCACGTTTGCTGGGTGATGGGTCTTGGTTGGTTCATTGCCCGAGTGAGTTCCCTATTGCTTATTCTTACTATTCTGACTATCTGATCTTCAGTATCGAGCAAGCGTAGGCGGCAGCTGTTAATATATGCCTGTAGTTTGTTGGAAATGTCTTTCGTAACGCGCCAAGTTTCTGAAACATCACATAGAAGCACTGACTTGACTGACATTAGTGTTGAAAATCCGGATCTTATTCACCCTTTATGCTGAGTTGAGTGCAGTAGATCTCCACACTAATTTCAGATTAATGAAGGCCTGTCTTGCTTTTCCGATCCCGGCTTTGACGTCTTCTTGAACTTGAACACAACTAGTGATTATAAGGGTGAAGTCTATTAATAGTCCTTCACAGCATCTTAGCTCACTATCTAATGAAGATGTCAACAAGAAGTGATGGGGCAGGTCTTCATATGGGTAATACTACCGCGACTTGTGACTCAAATATTTCCCACAGTATCTGTATATATGTGACACAAATTCACTGAATATCACGATATCGAGACTGCAGCATCACGTGAAAATATTACAACATGTAGTCCATGTATTACACAAACAGTACAATGTAAGATCACGAACTAAATGAATGAGATATCAGATCCATTTTAGAACCTTACACGTAGGTGCATTACTTCAAACTGCCACACTTTGGAACAGTAGGCTAGCAGCAACTGGACAGAAGCAAAGTGATATTACATTTTAGAAAGATTATGAAGACAGATGGAATGAATCAAAAGTAATACAATGCTCACTTTCAACAACGGTTTCAAAGTAGAATAAAATATATGGCTATGTATTGCTTTCTACCCTCGATAGATAGCCACATATCCCATTGATTTTGAAAGTCAGCAAATTACAAACATGTTTCTCGTGTTCCAGCTACGGTTTGGTTAGATACAAGCCATTAGGGTCGATGCAACTCCCCAAGTTACTGAGGTCGTCAATTCACTACACCACTTCACTGTCTGTCATAAAACTGGAAGTTGAAGCAGGTAAGTCCTGAAGCATAAGCCTACATCTCACACATTCGAGAAGCATACCAAACATGCAGAATCTGGTTGGAGTTCTAGAGCTACTTCTGTCTCTTAGCGTCACTTAACAGTAACATACCAACTGTACATTTTTCGTCGAACGTCCCCAACAGGTAGCGGATCAACCATCAAGAAGTCGTAGGTAATTTGAGTCACATCCGTGATAAAATTAGATAAAAATGGTGAGATTAGATGCCCCACGTAGAAAGTACTGACTGCTATCATCTTTGACCAAAACTCTCCATAAACCCTATAATGCTGAATGAGTTCGAGTATGACACATAACCTAGCATAACATGCTTTCTTAGCACTTTCTCCTATCGTTACCCATCTCGACCGAGAAATTCCGGTCCCACCTTCAGGTGTGAGAATAATGGCTAATGTCAGGAGCCCATACTTAGTGCTGTGTTTCAGAACCTGTCAAGAGACAAACATTTGATTCACAAACTTTCGCATGTTCCTAAATTGCACAGTTTTCTTGAACTTGTCGTTCTCCAGTTGCAGTTAGCCATCGAATGATTATAGACTCTAGGACCCTGAACAACATCTACGGCAAGCTTATTGTTGTGTGCTTATTACGAGATATTCTTGTCTTCCTATTAACTGGAGTGACCAACGATGTAAACCAATCTAACGGGACTGCCTGAGATTACCATATGTTTCAGTCAATCTTAGCAGAAAAGTTTGAGGGTAAACCATTACGGAATTTTGCGTTGATCTGTTTCAAATTTGAAACAATCATCCAAGCTTCGATGATAGTTGCAGCACTTGTAACTATATCCCATCCAAGCTGGAAATGGATGGTGGGCAGCTGGATCATAACCTTTAAGCTGTAGTCAGTGATTAGCACATGGTAAAATCTACTGAAATGTTCCATATACAAAAGATCATCTCTTACGAGAATTGACACTAGTAGCAGCCTTTAAATGTTAAGCTTATTGGCTCAGGTGCTCAACTTTTAAGCAGTGGGTTTCAGACTCGAATGTAACGCGACCTGAGAAATCGTGCAGTAATTCAAGCTCTCACACAATAAGCTTGGCTTACAGCTTAATGGAAAGAAATGCACCAAGTTGAATTGTATCAAATTTAAATAACTCAATTTTAGAATGAAAGCTCATAGTATATGGACTGAACTGAAGTACACTTCTATACTCACTTCACGTAGAAAGATATATGAAAAGCAACATCAATGGTAGTGTGTATTTGTCCATATTGTTCTTTAATATTTCAGTGCTGAAAACGTGAGCAGACAAATATGTTCTAAAAGAGTGATGACTTACCCACTTTCCTCCGAGTTCTAAAATTACAGGAGTAAGCTGTTTTGCCGCAGCCACATAAACCTCACGGCCAATAGATGCACCGCCAGTATAAAATATGAAGTCGAAACGATGATTGTCTAGAATTGTCTTACAGACGCTGCCATCTCCACAAATAACCTGACATATTCGCTGCAAAAAAACAGTAGTTTTAAAATAGAGGAGTTAACCAATAACTACATGTGAGTACACGGATGACTTCTCATGGGGAAATAAATTGCATAGAGTGAATTTCTAGTAACTTTACTAACAATGTAATTATTCGAATAGGAATATCAAACTTAGATATGTCGTTATCCCATATCACTATCAATGACAATCATACTTGAGAGTTTGGTGAAGCTGAAAAACAACTGAAGGTATGTATAAAAGTTCTTGGCTTTAACGAAGAACACAGAATTCAGTGAGAGTAATAATTATCGACTCAGAACGTTCTCCGAAACGAAAAACTAAGGGTTAGTGATCTCCTTATCATTATCAAGATCAACACAGAACCGGACATTACTGCATAACGGTCCAAGTTACCACATTTCATATCACCATATCAAGTAAGAAGGCAACAAAATGGAAGATGAAGAAGAAAGGGAAAATCTGTCAAAAGAACTAGAAAGTAGTAAAAGAGAGGAAGGAGGAATGAGAAAATGATGAGATTAAGTATGGTGGTCAAGATGAGGACTAAGGGTGTATACATCTGCACCACCAACATCGGTTCTGAACCATATAAACTAGAGTCAGTCTCCAACCACCGGTTCTCTCGTCCCGCAAACCCCAACCGGCTGGTCTGCATCATCCTACATGGCTCGAACCAACAGTCAACGACTTCATGCATTCATGTCATGTTTAGTCTAGCCACCACGAACCTTTTTCCAACATGAACCTACTTTGGCCAACACTGTGCGATGAGGCAGATAGTGGTTAGGCATACGTAACACATGTCCCAGACAGCTCAGTCGATGAAGGTTCACAACAGCATCAGTTGTCTCACCTCTCCTGCCCAAAACTCTATACCTGACTTGTGTTACTTATGTGGTGACAGCACGAAACATGGCCTATGCTACGAAGGCAACAGTGGTCAAACACCTAAGCTTTCTCATGTCTTCTACCTTTAACGTCCATGTTTCACAGCCATAAAATAGAACAGAGTGGACTTCAGCACGGTACACTCGAACCTTAACAGCGGCTCCATAGATGGCGTAAGTTAGCAGAAGCCAACCGATTTCGCCAGTCACTGTACCACCAGGGTTAATCTGACTTCTCAGGTAAGTGATATGTTCAGCACGCTCAACCAGTTCACTCTCTATTGTTAGCCGGGGCATCACTGAAGACCAGTCCTGGAGCAACAACTTGCATTTGGGTGGCGGGAAACGCATCCCAGACACTCTCAAATTACCACTGAAGGTGTCCAAAAGACTCTGCATCTTCACCTAATAGAACTATGTTATCTGCGTATTCTAGTTCTACCGAAAATTCTCCTGTGATTAGGTCAATCCCTATGTAGTCATACG